AACACTTTACCCACAACCGAAGTAAGGCTCACTGGTCTATAATTACCCAGCTCGTCCCCGCCTCCCTAACCTATTCTTCCTCCCACCTATCCCCTCCTCCCACCTCAAGCCGCACCCCCATCTCCTACCTACTAACCTCATCCCACCCCCTTGACCTGTCCGTCCTCCCTCACTCCCCACCTGCACTCACCTTTACTGGCTCCATCCCCGCCTCTTCGACCTGTCTGTTTCCTCTCCACCTATCTTCTCCTCTATCCATCTTCTATCCGCCTCCCCCTCTCTCCCTATTTATTTCAGAACCCCCTTCCCCTCCCCCATTTCTGATGAAGGGTCTCGGCCCGAAACGTCAGCCTTTTTGCTCCTCTGATGCTGCTTGGCCTGCTGTGTTCATCCAGCTCTGCACCTTGTTGTCTCGGATTCTCCAGCATCTGCAGTTCCTACTATCAATGATCTACCCTGTTCTCTTCTGGCTGAAGATTGTTCATTTTCGTCCCAGAACATCACTGCAGGTGTTCTTCGGGGTAGTGTCCAAGGCTCAACCATCTTCATAAGATCAAAGGAAATCGAGTGATTTAAGGAGTCTGAGATTTGCCCCGTTTAGGGTGGAATTTGCCGTTGTAAGACAGATTGGCAATACTCTGCAGGCCTGGGTGTAGGACTTCTGACTGTCACAGAACTTTGATTTGTCTCAATAGGGAACCTTTTGAAAATTTGTCCATATGATGTCAGCATTGCTGGCATTGCCAGTCCCAAATTGCCCGGAGAGCAATTAAGAGTCAACCACACTTACGTTGGGTCAGAAGTCATAGGTAGGCCATACTAAGGATTGCAAATTTCTTTCCCTGAAGGGCATTAGTGAATCTGATGGGTTTTTATGATCAACAGCGCTGACCTGGTTGCTTGGAGTAATTTTGGATTAAGTGGCAGTAATATGTAACATTGACAAAATGTACTTTAACAACTCCATAATGGTTCTTTTAGACACCATCTTTCAAACCATTGACTCCACCAAATAGAAGACCAAGCTTAGCAGAAGCATTGGGACACCACCCCCTGCAAGTTCTCCCCCAAGACACATGCCATTGTAACTTGGAACTCTTATCAACATTCCTTCACTAGCTAAGTCAAAATCCTGGAACTGCTTTCTTAACAGCAGTATGGCTTCCCCTCCATCATTTCAAGGGTTCAAGAAGGCAACTCATCAACCACCAGGCCAGCTTGGCCCTATCCTTTTTTTTGTTGTTGACTTGACATACCTGGGCAATTTTCCACCTTGTTGGGAAGGTCGCAGTGTTGTAGCTGCACTAGAACAGCTTTGGTAATGGGTGCAGTTAGTTTTGGAGCATCAGCATTGTGTTTTACGGCCATGATGTTATCTGGGACACCGTCTTTGCTGCACCCAATTTCTTCGGTCCTTGCTTTATGTCCTGTGGAGTGAATCAAATTGGCTGTGGTGGTTGGTAGCTGATTTGGAGAGATTCAGTCAGAGTTCTGGAAAAGATGGGCTCTGATTTAGGATATAAGGACATGTTTCTTTTCTCTGTTCAAAGTGAGACAACTTATAATAGTGGTCCTCTGCGGTCAGGACAGGAACATCAAATGTGGAAATCACCTGAGTGAGATTTGCAAGCAAAGTATCAAGATCAAAAATATTTAAGCTTCATAAACTATGGTATTTAGACCATAGGTTTGCTAGGAATGAGAATGGCTTAAAAAAAAAAATCGAGTTAGATTTTCTCATCTGGTTTAGTGCAAGAGCTGACTGAAACACACGCAAGCACAATCAGATGGAACTGCTGTGTATGAACAAAAACTGGCATGGAAGTAGGGCAGTGCAGTGGCTCAGTGGTTAGCACTGCTGCCTCACAGCGCAAGGGACCCAGGTTTGATTCCACCCTCAAGAACTGTCTGTGTGGAGTTTGCACAACCTCCCAATATCTCCGTGGGTTTCCTCCGGGTGCTCCGGTTTCTTCCCACGGTCCAAAGATATGCAGGGGTAGGAGGACTAGCCATGCTAAATTGCCCAAAGTGTCCAAGGGTGTTTAGGTTAAGTGGGTTAGACATGGGAAATGCAGGGGTAGGGGAATGGGTTTGGGTGGGATGCTCTTCAGGGGGGCAGTGTGGACTTGTTGGGCTGAATGGCCTGTTTCCACACTGTAGGGACTCTATGACTCTGAAGTACTTGCTGGATGGATGTTGTCGGGTTGGAATGAATTTTGTTCCCATTCATGTACTAAGTACTAAATGTGTATTAGCTACACAAGTTAGTTTATGATTAATCTGTGGGAAAGAGTGTATTTGAAATCCAGTGTCCTTATTTTTATCTTTGCAGTTGGGATGAAACTCACTTTGGAAAAATGGGAAGTTACTATATTAACCAAACGTTTTTTTTTGATGTTCATCCTCCACTAGGCAAGGTAGGTATATTCTCATTCATGTAGAATTAACAATAATAAAGCACTCACTGAATAAATCAAAGGTCTCCTTGCATCCCTAGTGGATGTATTAACAACTGTCATGGGTCTTTTATGATCCTTTATTTTAAATATTCCCACAACCTAAAACATTTCCTCTACCTTTACTCTTTCCAACCCATTTATAATGTTAAATGTACTCCATCTTCTCTTTTCAAAACACTTCTTAGAGAAAAAAACCTATTGTCTGCTAATGGCTGAAATCTCAGTTCTGGTGCCATCCTTATTTCTGTCTCTGGTGTTGATGTGACCTGTTGATTGTGTATGGAGATCTGCATGTACACATTGGTTAGTGTGACATGCCAGACTCCTAAGCACAAGATTGCTGGACTACTTTTAATTTGTATATCCCTAGACTATTTTTAATTTAAAAAAAAAAAGAACTATGGATGCTGGAAATCAGAAACAAAAACAGCAATTGGCAGGATCTGTGGAGAGAAAGCAGGATTAACATTTTAGGTCCAGCGATCCTCCTTCAGATCCCGAACCCTGACCTTGGGTTCTGAAAAAGGGTCACTGGACCCGAAATGGTACCTCTGCTTTCTCTTCACAGGTGTTGCCAGACCTACTGAGCTTTTCCAGCAATTTATGTTTTTGTCAGTTTTTAATTGCTTTGCTGTCCTCGATGATCACGTTTGTCCCTCTAATTGCACTTCCTCTCTATTCAGTTGCTTTGTTTTTATGTTCCTAGATGTTAATTGGATTGGCAGGATATCTGACTGGTTATGACGGTACTTTCCCATTTAAAAAACCTGGAGACAAGTATGACCACCACCATTACTATGGCATGCGAGCGGTAAGAAACATTAGCTAGAGAAACAGGCAGAATATCAATATACTAAGAAACGTGGTCTCAAAAAATCCAAAAGAAATTCAAAATAAAAACTGTCCAAAAAGAGTACTTCGCCACACAAGTCGTAATTCAGACATCCCTTGGAAAGGAGGGAACTGAGATCCACCAAACAGCGTGCATTTTTGGACCCAATGATAAGGTTCTTTATGCTAAATGTTACCTTTCTTTATCTGCTTTTTTTTTTTTTTAGACAGAAATCAAACTTGGTGCTAGAAAAACCAACATGGATTTGTTGAGTGCAAGTCATGATTAGCTAACTTGCCTGAGCTTTTTGATGAGGTAATGGAGAGGACTGACAAGGGTGCCACTGTTGATGTCTCGATGGACTTCCAAAAAGTCCCACAAAACATTTGTGAGAAAGTGAGTGCTCGTGGAACAAAAGGAATTGTAGCAACACAAATGAAATTTAACTATTGTGCTGGACAGTTGTTTTTGGACTGAATGAAAGATTGTAGTGACTGGCGTCTAGACTCCTGCTCTTCATGAGATATTAGTGTCCTAGACTTTGGTGTAAAGGGCAGAACTTCAACATTTGTAGATGAAAGAAAACTGGGTGTATTGTGAAGTAAGAGCATGAGAGAAGTTGAAAAGGATGTTGGTAGAATGAGCAAACAAATGACAGATTAAAATTCAATGCAGAGAAGAGTGAAATGGTTTGTTTTAGTAGGAGGAACATGGAGATCCAATGGAGAAAAGGTAAAGTTCAGAAGGTGATGCATGAGCAGAGGGACCTGGACATGTATTAGAATAAGTCTTGAAGGTGACGGGCAGTTTGAGAGCACAATTCAGAAAACATTAGAGAGAATGCATAAAACATTTGAGAATGGTTCCAGAGATTACTTCAGTTACTTAAATGGATAAATTGTGACTGTGTGTTTCTCCAGCAGAAGTGAAAATTGGAAGGAGAAATTATAAGAGTTATTCAAAATCAAGAAGCGTATGGACAGTATGTGTTATTCCTATTGATTGAGAGATTGAGAACCAAAAGGCACAAATTTAAGATTCTACAATAGGAGCATGAGTACAGCCATTTGGCCATAAGACATGGGAGCAGAGATTAGGCAATTCGGGCCCATTCAGTCTCCTCCGCCATTCAGTCATGGCTGATATGTTTCTCAATCCCATTCTCTTGCCTTCTCCCTGTAGCTTTTGATTCCCTTATACAATCAAGAACCTATCTATAGCTGTCTTAAATGTACTCAATGACCTGGCCTCCACAGCCTTCTGTGGCAATGAATTCCATAGATTCACCACTCTGGCTCAATACGTTTCTCCTCATCTCCATTCTAAACTGTCTTTCCTTTACTTTACTCTATGGCTGTGCCCTCGGGTCCTAGTCTCTGCTGCTAATGGAAACATCTTCCCAATGTCCACTGTATTCAGCCTTCCAGTATTCTGTAAGTTTCAATTAAACACCCCCCTTCATCTTTCTAAATTCCATCGAGTATATACCCAGAGTCCTCAGACGTTCCTCATATGTTAAGCCTTTCATTCCCGGGATCATTCTTGTGAACCTCCTCTGCACCCAGACCACAGCCAGCTCATCCTTCCTGAGGTATGGAGCTCAAATTTGCTCACAGTACACTCAATGTGGTCTGACCAAAGCTTTACAAAGCCTCAGAAATACGTCCCTGCTTTTATATTCTAGTCCTCTTGAGATAAATGCCAACATTGCATTTGCCTTCCTAACTACAGACTCAGCTTGCAAGTTTACCTTAAGAGAATGCTGGACCAGGACTCCCACATCTCTTTGCACTTCAGACTTCTGAATTTTCTCCCCATTGAGAACACAGTCTATGCCTCTATTCTTCCTACCATTCTTTACCACATTGTATTCCATCTGCCACTTCTTTGCTCACTCTCCTAACCTGTCTAAATCCTTCTACAGCCTACCCGCTGCCTCAATACAACCTGTCCCTCCACCTATCTTTGTATTATCTGCAAACTTAGCGAGAATGCCCTCAGTTCCTTCATCTAGATCGTTAATGTATAAAGTGAGAAGTTGTGGTCACAACACCGACCCTCGTGGAACACCACTCGTCACCAGCTGCCATCCTGAGAAGGACCTTTTTTTTTTTTTTGCCACTCCCTGGTTGTCTGGCAGAAAGCAATCTTCAATCCATGCTAGTACCTTGCCTCTAACACCATGGGCCCTTATCTTACTCAACAGCCTCCTGTGCAGCACCTTGTCAAAGTTCTTCTGGTAGTCCAGCTGGATAACATCCGTTGGCTATCCTTGATCTAACCTGCTCATTACTTCCTCAAAGAATTCTAACAGATTTGTCAGGTGTGACCTTCCCTTGATGAAACCATGCTGACTTCATCTCGTTTTACCATGCACTTCCAAGTATTCAGAAATCTCATCCTTCACGATGGACTCCCAAATCTTCCTGTCTTTTTGCCTCAGTCCCTTCTTAAAGAGGTTGCAATAGCGTTATTTTTCCGCAGTTCACTAGGACTTTCCCTGACTCCAGTGATTCCTGAAAGAACACCACTAAAGTCTCCACTATCTCTTCAGCTATTTCCTTCAGAGCTCTAGTGTGTAGTCCATCTGGTTAAGGTGATTCCTCCACCTTCAGACCTTTCAGTTTTTCTAGCACCTTCTCCTTTGGTGATGGCCTCCATACTAACTTCTACCCCCAACTCTCTTGAATTTTTGGGATGTTACTCATACCATCAACTATGAAGAGTAATGCAAAATACTTAAGTCAGTTCCTCCACCATTTCTTCGTACCCCATTACTACTACTACAACCTCATTGGGCCCCTGGAAAATGTCCACTTTTGCCTCTCTATTTGCAGTTTAGATATCCGAAAAAAACCTCTTGCAATTTTTTTTATATTACTGGCTAGCTTCCTCTCGTATTTAATCTTGTCCCTCCATATTTCGTTTTAGTTGTCCTCTGGTCTTTGTAGGGTTCTCAATCCCCTGGCTTCCCACTGCCCTTCACCGCATTATACACATTCTCTTTTGCTTTTATGCTGTCCCTGACTTCCCTTGCCAGTTATGGTTGCCTTGTCCTCCCTGTACCATGCTTCTTTTTCCTAGGGATGAATTTTTGCCATGTTTCCCAAATCACTCGCAGAAACTCCTGCCACTGTCTTTCCTGCTAGGTTCCTCCCCCAGTCAATTCTGGTCAGTCCTCCCTTATGCCTCTGTCATTACCTTTATTCAACTGTAATACCATTATGTCTGATTCCAGCTTCTCTCTCTTGTGCCCAGCATCCTGACTGCTGTTTGGAGGCCTGTACATAACTCCCATTATGGCTTTTCTACCTTTTGTGGTCCCTCAACTCTACCCACATTGATCCTACATCATCTGACCCTACATTGTTTCTTGCTATCGATTTACTAATAAGGCGACCCCACCCCCTCTGCCCACCTGCCTGTTTTTACAATAGGATGTATATACTTGGATATTTAGCTCCCAGTTCTGATCCCCTTGCAGCCACGTCTCTGTGATGCCCACCACATCATATGTGCTAATTTTGATCTGAGCCGCAAGCTCATTTACCTTATTTCATATAATGTGTGCATTCAGATACAACACCTTCAGTCCCGTATTTACCGTCCCTCTTCTCATTGTTATCCCTTTATTCAATGTGCTTGAAGTTTGATTCCTGACCCTTTGCAAACACTTAGTCGTACTTTTGTATTCTGGAGACTTTAATAAGCTTGCCTGGGTTCTCTTTCCATTTTTTGCACATTTTGCCATGCAGTTGAATCTAGACACCCCCTGGCCCAAAAAATCAGGCTAACCTGCTGCTTCATTCCCTATTCCCCCTCTTTTTAGTCAAGTTCTGTTGACCATCCCATTTATCCTTTTCACTAGAACATTTGTCCCAGCTTTGTTCATATGGAGACCATTTCAATGGTACAGATCACTCCTGTTCCAATACTGATGCCAGTGCCCCATGAAATGGGCCCCTCAAGCCTGTTCCCACATTAAATAGAATCATCGCTGATCCAACATTCTTTATCTCCACTTTCCTGCCTTTCTCCATGATCCCTGATATCTCTAATGATAAAGAATTTATCTGTCTCAGCCTTAAATATACACAAGGGCTCTGTCTACACAGCAGTCTGTGGTAAGGAGTTCCAAAGACTCTTGATGCTGCCTTTTTAAGCAAAGTATGTTGTTTGTTTTTAGGTAATTTCTGAGTCTGTAGATTGTTAAAGGGGCAGAAATGGCTTTTAGTAAAACAATGTGCTCTTCCAATTGGATGTGGGAGATCAGGGAGATTTGGAATGTTCCTGGGGACTACATCTGCAGGAAGTGTTTTTAGTTGCAAATCCTATCGGACCGCATGAATTGGTTGGAGCAACAGTTAGAGGCAATGAGTTTACAAGAGCTAGTGGATGTGATGGATGGCAGTTTCACGAAGACAGAGACACCGCAGATACAGTCAGATAGGTGGCTGACCGCTACAAGTGGCAGGAGAGATAGCCAGGTAGTGCACGAGCCTGCTGTGGCTATCCCTGTCTCAGACAGCTGTGCTGTTTTGGATACCGTGGAGGGGGATAGCCTCTTAGGGGAGTCTAGAACTGACAGCCAGGTATCTGGTATTGTGACTAGCTTGAACGTAACGAAGGGTATATCAGGTTCCAAGCGGCCAATTATAATGGGGGACTGTGTGGTCTGAGGCACACGCAAACGTTTCTGCAGCTGTCAGCGAGACATCAGGATGGTGCGTTGCCAGGGTCAAGTGGTGGCAGCACTAATTCTGAAAGTGGAGGGGGACCAGCAGAAGGTCATTGGTACCAACACACACGTACGTAGGGAAAGGAATGAAGTTCCGCACAGAAAGAATATAGGGAAATTAGGCAGTAGTTTTCTATTAGGTCCTCTGGCAGTAATGTCTGGATGACTACCAGTGCCACAGGCTGGTGAGAATAGAAATAGGATGATAGAGCACATTCCTGCATGGCTGAGGAGCTGGTGC